GCAAATGCCCCCGATCCAATTGTATCCAGAACCTCGAATTCTCTCTCATAAATGTTTTCTAATTTAAAAATTAAAATCAACGATTATTTGAATATTTAATTCCAATACAAGTTCAGTATCTATATTTAAAAGTACCCTCGCTCAATTTTCCACTATTTGTTGACTGTATACTTAAACGTTTGCTTAAAACTCTTTGTGTGGTCCTTGATTGCTGCAAATGCCCCCGATCCAATTGTATCCAGAACCTCGAATTCTCTCTCATAAATGTTTTCTAATTTAAAAATTAAAATCAACGATTATTTGAATATTTAATTCCAATACTAGTTCAGTATCTATATTTCAAAGTACCCTCGCTCAATTTCCCACTATTTGTTGACTGTATACTTAAACGTTTGCTTAAAACTCTTTGTGTGGTCCTTGATTGCTGATTATCTATAAAATGTGTTTTTAAGTGTATGCCCCTATATATCCGAGGAATATTAACATTTTATGACTTTGTTTAATGAAGATTATTTTAAAACCTTTAATGGACAATTTGTTATGTTATATCTGTAACTGTAAATCGCAGTAAATGATTTTGATAAATAAAACAATATTTAAACTAAAGTTTCACCAGTGTTAACAATTAATTCATTCATGCGATAATTAAGATTGTAATACAGTACATAATTAGATTATGATTAGTATTAGCAATGTCATTACTTGTTTGCGATATTATTATTTATGCTTAACTGACTATGAATTAAGTGCTAATTTCTTTGATTCAATTCATACACATTTGCCACGACTTGAGTATCTGTTTATTAATTTGAAAACTAAGTTAACCCCGGATATTGACAATAGCGTTAAACTTTTGCCTAATCATAATCTATTTGAAATATCTTTATTAAGATATCTTAATAATAATTAATATTATTATGAGCACAGACATTTATGTCGAGGAATATCTGAAAGTTTTTTGCATTATCACGAGGAATATCACAAAGTAGATATGCATTCGCAGGGAAAGGGGGCATGCCAAAGTGTATGTCACCATGTTAAATTTCTATGCACGATGGCCGTGTAGAGAGAAGGGGGTTGAATTTTAGATATGAACATTTTGCATACGTACTTTGTGGATGACGCCTAATGAAAACATGAATTAATGTAAATCAATGATACAATTAAATGGTTTAAGTCTTAATTCATTTTAAGAAAATAAGTATAAAGGCTTAAGTCATTATAGGTAGTGAAAGAGGGTTGCCTTTGAAAGAATCTTGGATATTTTCATAAATATTGTAAAAACTATTAAAATGTATATCATACTTAGCAAGTATAATATTACTTGCTAAGGATGTATATACAAAACAAACTCAAGTTATGTAACAGTTTTATAAATAAATGATTTCAAAGGTTATAATACATATGTAGATTTGAAATTTGATTGAGCAATTTTTGTTTTATGTATAGATATATAATAATAATAATAATTTTATGCATGAAATGAAATATATAAATATATAATAATTTAATACACATTTTATACATTAATTTAATACCTTTACCATATATGAAGTGAAATATTAATCATAGAAACTCTATGTTTATATTAATTTGTGTATACTTTGTACACTTAATTATTTCATAAAGACTACAGTATTTTAATATTATAGCTATCTATGATAACATACGTATTGTATCAGTGCCAATAATCATAATATACACAAAACTATCCCAATCAAAAATATTATAAAACGAATATATATCTGGGTATATACGTTAAAAAGTTTGTGATTTTAATTGTCTTAAGTTTTGTTAAATTATGAACATTGACATGGATTATAATAACCAACTTTGTGAAAAGGTATGCATATATTATAAGCTATAATTTATAACATTATTATTATACATTAACTTATGGATTTTAGTCTAATACAGTAAAATTAGTAAATTAATTTGAAAATTATTTCAATAACATGATTAATATAAGTTTGCTACACTATCATAGTACAGTACATGAATACTGGTTACATTAACTAACAAATAAATTTATATTTGATATATTGCTAAAATAATTGGGGCAAATTGATTTGGGAAAGGTACTTTGTTTATCGCTAATATTTTATTATTGTTTACATGAAAGATATCATCTATTAATGTCATTGAAACTCAAGAGGAATGTCCGAAGAACTCGTTTGAGAGATTCGGTGATGACTTGTGTGGACTCGTATTGTCTTACCTATCATTTGAAGACTGTTTCCGATTTGAATGTCTGTCCAAACAGTGGCAACGATTGGTATTCACGCGAAGACATTCACTCGAAGTCAATATTAAAGTAATAAACAAAATGAATATTTGAAAGGGATTAAGGAATGGATGTTTCGATTGGCAAGCATTGGATTCAATGGTGAGAAAGTGTACAAACATTACATCCATTGATATTGAGATCAATTCATATGCGACGGCAATACCATTTGAAGTACTCATGACTTCATACAAACACTTGAATGCAATTCACATCCTATTTGGGCGCCAGACTGACCTCCAAATAATGGACAGAATTTTGTATATATATGGCTCACAATTGACATCATTATGGATCCCAGACCGGGCTGTATATGTGTTTAAATCTCAATATAAATCTTATACTAAACTCAGCCAACTCTCAATCAATGATAATATTAATATTAACTATATTAACAGTAATCTATCGACAGTTTTCTACAACGGTTTATTAGTTAAAAGTTTAACTAAATATGGCTTTAAATTCATTTCATATATGAATTTAAACCATTTGGCAATATTTACGGATCACTACGCAAATAGTCTGAAGTCTATGAATTGAATTGAATGAAACAAATGAAATGTTTCATATGTTCAAAGTGTTGCGAATATTTAAAGTTTTGAATGCAATTACTATTGAAATGAAATGGTCTCCAGTGCTTGATTGCAAGTCGTTCACCGATTGTCTCAAACAGCCATTGATTGCAAACATTTAAAGAGATTTAAGTTAATTATAGATAAAGTAAGAGTAGAAGAAATGACACCATTGTATGAAACCTTGAATTGTTTCACGCGATTACGTGAACTCCGACTAGAATTTGGGTCTAATTGGTATGGAAATGAAAATAGTATTGATTTGAGTGTAAAATCATTGTCAAAATGCAAACGATTAACACATTTATCACTGGATTTGCCGACAATTGTGTTAAACGAGTCATTCTTTGACTCAATTGATACACATTTGCCACGACTTGAGTCATTGAAACTCAAGAGTAGATTAGAGATAACTCCGAGAATTGAGGAATCGGTGCAAAAGTTACCGAAACTTAAATGCTTTGATTTACAGACAATAAGAAATGATTACTTTAATTTCATTGGCTTTTATCATTTACTTGCTAATTATTCAAATTATGGCGATTATGAAAATTATTATTCAGATTATTATGAAACTGATTCTGATGATAGTTAGACCATTGAATACTAACATTTTAAATCAATTTATATATTATGTTATTAACATTACATTGTGTTTATTGTTATATTATTTATCTGCCAATGAATTTAGCGATGATTTCTTAGATTCAATTCATACATATTTGCCACGACTTGAAACACTATTTATTAATTCGAAAACTAAATTAACCAGGATATTGACAATAAAATTAAACTTTTGCCTAATCTTATGTTATTTGAAATGTATTGATAATTAATACCATAGATGTCTAGAAATATATGAATGACTCGTTTTTTGCAGATTCTGTAAAATTTAATTAATGTTTTAATGTATTTTGCTTATTTATTAATTAAGTAAGCAATGTTCATTTAATATTGTTTTATAAACATTTAAATATACCTATTATCAAATAAATAAACTATTATAAAATGTATAATAACCGAAAATAAATATTTTTTTATGTATTATTAATTAATAATTTATAAAGTCGACACCACTTTTATTCAAACTAATTTAATTCCTTAAATCATTTTAATTAAATTCATTATAAAAAATATTTTTTATAAATCTTTTGGCATTTATTTAACAGACAATTGAATTGAGCGCTAGTTTTGAGCGATTGGTTGAACTGATGGTGTGTTCATTGGTTACCAATACTTACGTCTGTTTTGAATGTCTTTTAAAATGCTTTTCATTTGATTACTGTTTGTCAGACATTGAGTCCATTGAGTAGTCATTGAATTGTTGTCATAATTGTGTGAAACATGATGTCCACGACTGCTGCGGATGACAGGTCTGTCCCTCTATTGCTGACCACTATTTATAGCCCTATTGTCGACAGTAAGGGTTCACTCAATGGCCACCCGTCTGGCGATGGAAACGACAAACACAGCACTCATGAGGACAGACCTACTGTCGGGGATCCGGACGGTGTGGTTGAGGTGTGTATTGGTATTACTCGTGCTTTCCATGTCTTACCCGTCATTACATAACAGAGTAATTGCGATGAAATGGTCACCACTTTTGATGACATGAACCTCAAGGAAGAACTTCTTCGTGGTATCCATTCATACGGTTTTGAGACGCCATCAGCCATTGAACAGAGAGCTACCATTCCCTGCATTAATGGTATACCTTATTAGAGATGTGTATGATAGCAATACTCCAGGGAATCGATACATCACTTAATGAATGTCAGGCCGTAATACTTACCACCAAACGAAAGGTCGCACTAAAGATACAGAAACTGGTATTAGGCTTAAGTCAATATATGACTGTCCGCTGCTATGTCTGCGCTAATGGCTCTAACATACGACAAGTCAACCGTCAACTCCGGGAGGGGTTTCATATGTGACCACTCGATGCGATTTACGTCAGTATTGATTGCATACGAATGTAAGACTAGTGTCGATGATAGGTATGTCCTACAGGTTTGTATTGCGTCAACACGTTAGTGTTGGACAGAATGGACTGGATGTTATACCGGGGTTACGACGATGTCATACACGATATCGCCATTCAATTTAATCCTCAAATTCAGGTGCGTTTTGATTGTGTGATAGTATGTACCCATTATTCACTACTCTGTATGTCTATGTGTCCGTTCAGGTGATCATAATGTTGGCCAAAATGTTCCCAAAAGTGCTGGAAGTGACCGAAAACTTGATGAGAGTTGCCATTCGTATAGTCATTAAGAAGGAAGAGCTCCGTAAAGAACTTCGAGAAAAATTGGCGCAAAAACTCCAGAAATTATCACTCATTTAATACATTAACAAAATGTCCTAAACTATAGCAACCATTTGTATATCCATTTCTATGCTATATTGCATTCATGTATAATAATTATAATCTGCTTTTTGTACTATTTGTCAAATAATGTATCATTTCTATACTGTTAGTACCATATCTCATTTATTGTATACCGGTAAATTGTTAAATGACTCAAAATGTTTATGTAATACAACTACTAAAACTGGTAGTACTCTCTTATAAAATGTGTTTTAAGTGGTGGTTATATTAAATTATTAATCAAGGTTAATTGTTTTTTGAATAAATATTCAATGACAATAATTCACAAATTTATTATTAATTAAATAATTTATTTTCAAATGTAATTTATTTGATTTTATAAAAATTATTTTATTTATCTATTTGTTACTAGCATAATGAAGCAATGTTAAAAACCCACTGAAAACTATAGGATTTTCTAATTGAAGCTTTTCATACAAATCTCATAAAATGCTTTAATTAAAAAATCCTATTATGTTTTCAATGACTTTAACATTGACATAATTGACAGAATAATCTAGTTAAAATTTAGTTTTAAAATTTAAATTAAATATCTGTTTAATACAAATTATGAATTGCGTTACACTAAATATGCAACAAATAATTAACTTACTATGTTATGGTACATAGCTTTTATAAAATGTAGCCATTCATAAATAAATTAGTAGTATCTTGAGTAAAAAGTAAGTTTACCAACATCAGTAGTAAATTTATAAATTTAAGCCTGGCTATCAAGGTATACGGTACAATTAAGCGAGTTAACTTTACTCGACAAATATTGATAAAACAATAAGTTTTCGTAAGTTTTAAGCTCATCGAGAATTATATCTAGCTCAAATTTATTCGCAGCGATAACGCTCTCGTTAATCGACCAATCGGTATACCCATCGAGTACCTGAGCACAGGTAGGCCTATCATTATAGACATACGATGTAATCGATTGAATCATTTTCACAAACTTTTCGACATTAGTTTGTAAGGGTTTTGCAATATATTTATCCAATGGATTATCGCTGAAACAAATTTATCACCATAAATTAATTTAGCAAACTATGCTCGATCATTCTTACCACAAATATAAGTCAAATAGCTCCTGGCCAATTTCACCCAGGCTATAAACGTCAGCCTTGCAAGTATAGCGCGATTGGTGTACCTCTGGTGCCATGTATTTAA